CATCATCATCATCATCATCATCATCATCATCATCATCATCATCCTCATCCTCATCCTCATCCTCATCCTCATCATCATCATCATCATCATCATCATCAGCATCATCATCATCATCAGTCATCATCATCATCAGCAGCAGCATCAGCATCAGCATCATCATCATCATCATCATCAGCAGCATCATCATCAGGAATCGTCGTCGTCATCATCGTCATCATCGTCATCAGCAGCAGTATCATCATCATCATCATCATCATCATCATCATCATCATCATCATCATCATCATCATGGTCAGCACCATTATTACTCTCGTCGTCGTCGCCGCCGTTGTCCTCATCACCATCACCACCACCACCACCATCATCATCATCACTATCATCAGCATCATCATCAGAATCATCATCATCATCATCATCATCATCATCATCATCAGCATCAGCATCATCATCATCATCATCATCATCATCATCATCATCATCCTCATCCTCATCCTCATCCTCATCATCATCATCAGCATCATCAGCAGCATCATCATCAGCAGCAGCATCAGCATCAGCATCATCATCATCATCAGCAGCAGCATCATCAGCATCATCATCAGAAATCGTCGTCGTCATCATCGTCATCATCGTCATCAGCAGCAGTATCATCATCATCAGCATCATCATCATCATCATCATCATCAGCACCATTATTACTCTCGTCGTCGTCGCCGCCGTTGTCCTCATCACCATCACCACCACCACCACCATCATCATCATCATCACTATCAGCAGCATCATCATCATCATAATCAGCATCATCATCATCAGAATCGTCATTATCAGCATCAGCATTATCATCGTCAAAATCAGCATCATCATCATCAGCAGCAGCATCGTCATCATCATCATCATCACCAGCAGCAACATCGTCATCATCATGAGCAGCAGCATTAGAATGTCATCAGCATCACCACGAACACCACAATCACCACAACCGCCACAATCATCATCATCAGCAGCATCAGCCTCACGATCCTCATCATCATCATCATCATCAGCAGCAGCAGCAGCATCAGCATCAGCATCATCCTCAGCATCATCAGCAGCATCATCGTTATCATCATCAACGTCATCACCCTCAATTACCCCGGCAAATCAACATAACAGCGATGTGTATAAGCATATCTGGAAGCATTCCCATTAATATTCAGGTGGGAATCCAGTTGTAGAATTATGCTGTTCTCGCAGTCGCAGTCGCATTCGCAATGAAAGTGGCAGTGGCAACGGTCTTAAGATCCAATGGAATCCTAAGGATTCCTAGGGATTCCTAAGGCATCATTAGGCATCCTTAGGAATACATAGGAATCCTTAGGAAACCTTGGGAATCCTTAGGAATCTTGATTCCTAGGGATTCCTAAGGATTCCTAAGAATTCCTGAGGATGCTTAACTATGCCTACGGATTCCTAAGGACTCCTAGGGATTCCTAAGGATTCCTATGGATTCCTACGGATGCCCCAGCCTGCCTCAGTTTCAGCCTCAGCCTCAGCCTCAGCCTCAGCCTCAGCCTCGGCCTCAGCCTCAGCCTGCCTCGGCTCAGCCCCAGCCTGCCTCAGCCTCAGCCTCAGCCTGCCTCGGCCTCAGCCTGCGTCAGCCTCAGCCTCAGCCTCAGCCTCAGCCTGCCTCAGCCTCAGCCTCAGCCTCAGCCTCAGCCTGCCTCGGCTTGCCTCAGCCTCAGCCTCAGCCTGCCTCGGCCTCAGCCTGCCTCGGCCTCAGCCTGCCTCAGCCTCCCCTCCTCCCCCCCCCCCCCCCCCCCCCCCATTCAGCCTCACCTTGTCTCAGCTTCGGCCTGCCTCGGCCTCAGCCTCAGCCTCAGCCTCAGTCTCTCAGTCTCAGCCTCAGCCTGTCTCGTCCTGAGCCTGCCTCGGCCTCAGCCTCAGCCTGCCTCAGCCTCAGCCTGCCTCAGCCTCAGCCTCAGCCTGTATCAGCCTCAGCCTGCCTCAGCATCAGCCTCAGCCTCAGCCTCAGCCTCAGCCTGCCTCGGCTTGCCTCGGCCTCAGCCTCAGCCTGCCTCGGCCTCAGCCTCAGCCTGCCTCAGCCTCAGCCTCAGCCTGCCTCAGCCTCAGCCAGCCTCAGCCTCAGCCTCAGCCTCAGCCTGCCTCAGCCTCAGCCTCAGCCTGCCTCAGCCTCCTCAGCCTCAGCCAGCCTGCCTCAGCCTCAGCCTGCCTCAGCCTCAGCCTCAGCCTGCCTCGGCCTCAGCCTGCCTCGGCCTCAGCCTGCCTCAGCTCGGGCATTCAAAATATGGCACAGGACTGGTGTTCTGGGAACACGAAGATCACAACAAATATTGTACAGGAATCATGTTCTGGGAACACGAAGAGCACGAAGTGGCCTACAGTTGGCTCGGGGCATTCAAAATGTGGCCTGGGAATGGTGTTCTGGGAACAAAAGATCACGAAGTGGCCTACAGTTGGCTCCGGGCATTCAAAATGTGGCCTGGGAATGGTGTTCTGGGAACACGAAGAACACGAAGTGGCCTACAGTTGGCTCCGGGCATTCAAAATGTGGCCTGGGAATGGTGTTCTGGGAACACGAAGAACCCGAAGTGGCCTACAGTTGGCTCTGGCCATTCAAACTGTGGCCTGGGAATGGTGTTCTGTTGGCTCCGAGCAATCAAAATGTGGTTCCTGGCAATCAAAATGGGGAGTCCCCGGGTTCCCCGGCTTCTCCCGGCATCCGCCCAGACCCCCCTGGGGAGTCAAGATGCTGTCTTTTGAGCCCACTAGAAACCTATCAGTCTTCGCTGCTAGGTAAAAACATCAACATCCTCATCGGCATCATCATCAGCAGCATCATAATCATCCCCATCGACGACAACAACAGCATCAGCATCATCATCATCATCATCATCATCATCATCATCATCATCATCATCATCATCATCATCATCAGCATCATCATCATCATCATCATCATCATCATCATCATCATCATCATCATCATCATCATCATCATAATCATCATCATCATCATCATCAGCAGCAGCAGCATCGTCATCATCATCAGCAGCAGCATCATCGTCATCATCATCAGCATCATGATGATCATCATCACCATGACCACCACCATCACCACCACCGCAACAACCATCATCATCGTGAGCAACATCATCACCATCATCATCATCATCATCGTCATCAGCATCACCACCAGCATCCTCCTCATCATCATCAACGCAATCACCATCATCAAAAACATCAACATCATCAGCACCAGCAGCATCATCAGCATCATCAACAACAGCATCAGCATCAGCATCAGCATCAGCATCAGCATCATCATCATCATCATCATCATCATCATCATTAGCAGCATCGTCATCATCGTCATCATCGTCATCATCAGTATCATCAGCATCACCATCATCATAAGCATCATCATCATAATCATAATCAGCATCATCATCATCAGCATCATCATCATCATCAGCATCATCATCATCATTATCATCATCGTCAACCCACGCTGGTCGCACTAGGAACTCCACCTGAAGACCCAGTGGTAGAGCCCTGCATGCCGTGGCCACCCCACTTTGGCACACCCCAACACGTGACGTGGTACCATACGGAGCTTCACCGAAGGCCCAAATGGCAGCGCCCGCATGACGCCACCACCCCACCTTGGCATAATCCTCACACGCTCCGTGGCACCAGAGGGAGCGCACCCCTCACACGCTTCGTGGCCCTATGGGGAGCTACACACATCATCACCACCATCGACACCACCACCACCACCACCACCACCATCATCATCATCATCATCATCATCATCATCATCATCATCATCATCGTCATCATCATGAGCAGCAGGAGCATCAGAATCAGCATCAGCATCAGCATCAGCATCATCATCAGCATCCGCACTAGCATTATCATCATCATCAACATCATCAGAATCATCATCAGCATCAGCATCGTCATCGTCGGCATCGTCATCGTCATCGTCATCAGAATCAGCATCAGCATCAGCATCAACATCATCAATATCAGCAGCATCATCATCAGCACAATCAGCATCATCATCATCTCATCATCCGCAACATCATCAGCATCAGCATCATCATCAACATCATCATCAGCAACATCAGCATATCATCATCGTTTTCGTTATCGTCGTCATCCTCAGCATCACCACCACCACCACCACCACCATCATCATCATAAGCATCATCACAGCATCAGCAGCATCATCAGCATCATCATCAGCACCATCATCATCATCCTCCGCCTCATCATCATCATCATCATCATCATCATCATCATCATCATCATCATCATCATCATCATCATAATCATCATCACTGTCACCCCACTTTGGCGCACCCCTCACACGCGTCGTGGCCTCACAGGGAGCTACACCGAAAGACCCAGTGGTCGCGCCCGCATGCCGCCGCCACCCCACTTTGGCACACCCTCACACACGTTGTGGTACCACATGGGACCTCCACCTGAGGCCCCAGCGGTTGCGCCCACATGCCGCCACCGACCCAGCTCGGCGTACCCCTCACACGCGCCGTGGCGCCAGAGGGAGCTCCACCCAGGGCCCCAGCGGCTGCGCCCGTATGCCGCTGCCACCCAACTTTGGCGCACCCCTCACCGAGAGGGAACTCCACCCAGGGCCCCAGCGATTGCGCCCGCTGGCGCACCCCTGACTCCGTGGCCCCATAGAGGACTCCACCTAAGGCCCCAGTGGTTGCGCCTGCATTCCGGATCTCTGCATCGACGACGATCCTGAGACCCCCGGATTTCGTGATTTTTCCTCGATAAGCATTGGTTTTCGTCCTGGTTCGTTTGCTGGCGGTCCTGGGGCCCAGAGAAGCTTCCCGTCGGGAATCATCCTTCCACCCGAGCCTGTCGAGAGCGTCCAGAAGCCTTCAGAGGCCCTGAAGGCCCCCAAAGAAAGCCAAGAGCACCCCGGAGCATCCACAACCCGCCGAAAACCTACCCAGAGCTTCAACCTGTCCAGCGCGTCCTTGTACTTCTCGTTGAGCGCGGAGGACACCTCGGCGAGCTCGTCGGCGCAGCTGAGCCCCGAGGCCGGGCAGCCGGGCAGCTTCTTGCCGGCCTGGCCGGCGCCAACCTGCGGCGGCTTCTCCTTCAGGGACGACGACGCGGCGGTCGGCAACCACAGCGACGGTCGGCAACGACAACGACAAAGACTCCTCCTCCTCCTCCTTCGCCTCCTCCTCCTCCTGTTCCTACTCCTGTTCCTACTCCTACTCCTCCTCCTCCTCCTCCTCCTCCTCCTCCTCCTCCTCCTCCACCTCATCCTTCTCCTCCTCCTCCTCCTCCGCCTCCTCCTACGCCTCCTCCTACTCCTACTCCTGTTCCTACTCCTGTTCCTACTCCTACTCCTCCTCTCCTCCTCCTCCTCCTCCTCCTCCTCCTCCTCCTCCTCCTCTCTTCCACCTCCTCCTCCTCCTCCTCCTCCTCCTACTCCTACTCCTACTCCAACTCCTACTTATCCTCCTACTCCTACTCCTCCCCCCCTCCCCTCTACTCCTCCCCTTTACGATTACACAATATGAATACTACTCTCCTCTCTCCCCTGATGACGTCTAGAAGATGTTCGGCCCCCATCGCGCACGATTTGTTCACACCGGATTGCTGGGAATTGGGTTTTCGCTTGGGTTTGTTTCAAAATAAATGTTGCTCCCGCTGAAGCGCTGGCCTCATGTTCGGGCTTCCTCTCGTTCTGAATCGTGTTCCCGCTGCAGCGCTGGCCTCGTTTCCGCGCTTACGCTCTTTCCGAATCGTGTTCACGCTGCAGCGCTGGCCTCATTTCTGCGCTTCCGTCATTCCGAATCTTGCTCCCGCTGCAGCGCTGGCGTCATTATTTCCAGCGCCATGCCACGGCATGCGATGCAATGCCACGTGGCGTTCCGCTGTGCGATGCCGTGCCTTCGGCTGCAATGCCAGGATATGCAGCGCTTGACTACGCAGTGCCACACCATGATACGGCATGCTACGCTTTGATATTAAACGCCATGTTATGCCATGTCGTGTTGTGTGCCGATGTGCGGTGCAATGATTTGCGCTGCAGTGCTTTGCGATGCCATGATTCACTACGCAACGCCACGCCATGCTATGACTTACTACACTCTGCCGTGGTCGTCTACGCCGTGACATGCCGTGCTCTACGATGCATCGCGCACCCTCTCGGGATCATTGCCCTGCCTGGCATCCGACTGTGCGAATAGAGAGGAGATCTACGCCATGGTCAGGGATGGGAGGAAGGGGTAGGACGTCAGATATGACGCGAGCATACCTATCTTGTCCTCCTTCCTCCTCCTCCTCCTCCTCCTCCTCCTCCTCCTTCGTCCTCCTCCTCCTCCTTCGTCCTCCTTCTCCTTCGTCCTCCCCCCCCCTCCTCTTCCTCATCCTCCTGGAGCGCGCCCTCGTCGCCACGGCTGGATCCGTCTCGAAACCTGATCGGACGAGAACGGGAAACGCCGATTCCATCCATTGGGTCCGCAGCTCAAAGGAGAAGAGAAGAATGATGGCGACGACGAGGCGGCGACGAACGAGAATGACAGCGAGGACGACGGGGAGGGCAGCGAGGGGAGCAGGAGGACAACAAGGAGGAAGCCAAGCGCGAGGACGAGGAGGAAGATATGGAGGACGAGCACGAGGAGGAACGAAGCGGAGGAGGAGAAGAAAACGACGACGAGGGAGGGCAGTAAGGAGTACGAGGAACACGACATCGAAGAAAGGGGGGGGTTCTCGCATCTTTTGAGGCTACCCCTAGGGGCGATTGTGGCTGTCTGGGGCGATCTTCGAACATCCTGGGGGCCTCCTCTTGGGAGCGTCTGGGGTCTTCTTGGGCTGCCTAGGCGTGTCTCAAAATTCTATGGGGGGTCCTCCGGGGCAGCCTTTGAGGGCTCTTTCTGGGCGTTTTGAGGCCCTCCAGGAGCGACTCCTGGACGACGTCTGTTCAGACCCCCCTCCCGAGCCGATTTGTTGAGTATGCCTCAAGCGAAACGGCCACTGTTCAGGAGACTGATCAAACAAGAATGGGAAGCGCCGACTCTTTCCAATGTGCTCGCAGGGGGGAAGGAAGACAAGGATGATGGCGACGACAAGGCGGCGGCTGACGAGGATAACAGCGTAGATGACGGGGAGGGCAGCGAGGGGAGGAGGACAACGAGTAGGAAGACAAGCACAAGGACGAGGAGGAGTAGGTACAGGAGGACGAGCACGAGGAGGAACGAAGCGAAGGAGGAGGACGACGACGGTAACGAAGGTGGACGGTGAGGAGCCCGAGGCGAAGGACGTCGAAGAAGAGGGGGTCTTCGTCATCTTTGAGGCTGCCCTGAAGGCTGTTGGGACCGTCTGGGGCCATTTTGGGGAATCCTCGGAGCCTCTTGGGGGCTTCTCGGGGTTTTTTGGGGGGCTACTGGGATCTTTTTGGCTGCCTAGGCGTGCCTTAACATGCTGTGGGGGCTCTCTCGAGCCGTCTTGACGCCATCTTGGGCTGTCCTGGACCGTCTGGTGGCCTCTGGGGGCGCTCTTAGGAGCCTCTTGGGACCCCCTTTGTGTCCTCTGGGTGGCCTTTGGGAGCTCTTTTGAATCGTTTTGAAAGGCCCTCCAGGAACGATTCCAAGATCATGCTGGTTCGAAGTGCCCTCCCGAGCCGAATTTTCGGGGATGTCTCGAGCGAAAGGGCAAAGCTTCAGAAACTTCGGGGGCTCCTGGGGACCTCTTGGGCGCCTCTTGGGCGCCTCTCGGGGTGCGGGTCCCTTGGGGCGCTCTGGGGGTCCTCTGGGGGGCGTTGGCAGCTCTTTCGGGTAGTTTTGGAGCCATCTAGGAGCGCCTCGAAAAACATGTTGGTTCGGAGTCCCCTGCGCAGCCGACTTGTTCATGATGTCTCGAGCGAAACGGCCATTGTTCAGAAACCGTTCCTGGCATGAACGGGAAGCGCGTAAAATCGAAGAGCCTGGAAAGAACGTGCACCAACATTGAGATCAACTGTAGCATAGGCGCTCCTCCCGAATGTTCTCGAAGGGGTATCAGGTGGAGCTCACTACCCGCGCAAGTTCAGACGTGGCAATGAACTGACGCAGGAAGGTAGTAAACTGCTCATGGTTTCGGCCCGAACCCCCTAAGGCAACTCGTTTGCCATTTTCATTTTGAACGGGGAACGTGCAGAATCTAGAAACTGCGAATGAACTTCCAACAACACCATCAAGATCAATTGTGCCGTAGGCACGCCCTCAACAATCGACAAGGGTAAGAGGTAGAGTTCACAACTCGCAGCAGTTCGGACGGGGCGCTGAGCTAAAAAGGAAAATGACCTGACCCTGATATTGGTTAGGATCCTCCTGCTGCCACCCGTCCTCCTCCGCCTCGTCCTCGTCTACGCCTCCTCACCCTCGTCGCCTACCACTTCCGCCGACAACAAGCGTAATTCACTACCCGTGCAAATTCAGGAAACAACTGTAGCAAACGGAGTATGCAAACATCTCGGAAGAACCACAACAGTCCGCTGCACCTAAAGCCCCTCAAGTGCAGCGGATGTTGTCGCTCTATAGAGGCCCTGATACTGATCGTCCTCCCCGACATTGTCGTCATCACCATCACCACCTTTAACCCCTATAATCGTCAACGTCGCCATCCTTCTCCGCATCATCACCGTCAGCTTCATCACGACCTGATATTGTTGAAGGCCCTCGGGGCTCTATTATTTAGAGGGTGCCCCTGGCGAAACGCTTACGTTTAATCCCATCAACCATTTGGGCTAAGGTGGTCTAACACATCCTTTCGTTCCCCTTCAAAAAGAAACGTCTTCCCTTCGGGGAGGGGTGCCCTCCCCCTCCCCTCACTGAGGTTTGTTGGATGGTTTCGCGATCGGTCAGTGCGCCCAAAATGGCCCAAAATGGCCCAAGTCCGATGCTCCACGATGACCATCAAGGCGGCTCAAAATAGCCGAAGATGGTTCAAGATATCGTCCGACATACCTCAGAAAGGCCAGACGAAGGCCGCAAGATGGATCCAAGTGCTCTCGGAGCCCCCATCAGGACCCCCCCCCCCAGGAGGCCAAACTCCTTCAACCACCTAAGGAAAACAAATGATGCTTGCCTCCTCGCCGTTTCACTTTCGATGCGCCCTTGAAGCCTCAAGATTGCCCCAAAATGGCCCACGAGAGTCTCAAGATGGGCACAAGAGGTCCCAGGACGGCCCCAAGAGCACCCAAGATCGGCGCAAGAGTGCCCCAAGAGCGCCTCAAAGGACGAGTTCGAGGGCTCGAGTGGGCGGACCAAACGTTAGGACCCCTCTCGTTTCACAGACTCCCTCCACAATTGCCCCAAGAAGCCGTAAGAGGCCCCCCAGAATCCCAAGAGGGCCCCCAGAACCCCCAAAAGAGCCCCAAGAAGGCGCCCAGAGAAGATGCTTGAGGGTTTTGTCCTCGTCCTCGTTGTCTTCCTCCTCCTCCTCCTCCTCCTCCTCCTCTTCCTCCCTCTCCTCCTCCTCGTCCTCGTCCTCGTCCTCGTCCTTGCCCTCATCGCCTTCCTTTGCCTGTTCCTCGTCGTCGGGGTCGTCGTGGTCGCCGTCGTCGTTTTTTGTTTCTGATCGGTAGCATCAGCTCTACTATTCTTAATATGAATAATATGAATACTATGTATAATAGAATGCTTCGTCTTCTAGTATTCGTATGATGCTGCTTCGTAGTACTCCTAGTATGGCTACTACGATGAGCTTTGTTGTTGGTATTGATAGCGGTATGATTAGTATAATTACTCTGGCGATTACTAGAGATTAAGACTAGCATTACTGTTATTATTGGTATGTTAGCCAACGTGGACCCCAGATTGCGTGTTCTAGCTACATATGGCGTGCAATCGTTGTGGGCCAAAACATGTGGTGCAGTAGAGGTGGTGCAATTCATGCGGTGCTACCTAATTGGTGCAACTTATGTGGTGTGAGCCATGCTGTGTCGTCTATGTTGTGCAGTCGATGTGGTGCGATCTATGCTTTGCAAACTATGTGGTGCAGCTAACGTGGTGCAATATATGCGGCGCCATCTGTGTGGTGCACTCTATGTGGTGCATCTAGGAGAAGCGGCGACGAGGCGAGGCGGCGACAGGGCGGCGACAGCGAGCGCGAGGCCGCCCAGCGGGCCGCCAGGTGGGCCCAGTTTCTTGGAAAAGAAAATACGACTGAGACTACGACTCCTACTGGTACTACTACTACTACTACTACTACTACTACTACTACTACTACTACTACTACTACTACTACTACTACGACTACTACGACTACTACGACTACGACTACTACGACCACTACGACTACTACGAGGACTACTACTACTACTACTACTACTACTACTACTACTACTACTACTACTACTACTACTACTACTACTACTACTACTACTACTACTACTACTACTACTACTACTACTACTACTACTACTACTACTACTACTACTACTACTACTACTACTACTACTACTACTACTACTACGACTACGACTACGACTACTGTTGCTACGACTACGGCGACGACTACTACTACTACTACTACTACTACTACTACTACTACTACTACTACTATTACTACTACTGCTACTACTACTACTACTACTACTGCTGCTGTTGTTGCTACTACGATCTTTCTGTTTATATTCATACATATCATCAATACATATGTACATATATACACTCAACGATCTATCTATATGTATACGTGGTGCAAGCTATGTGGTGCGCAGCGGCGACTGCGGCGACGGCGGCGGCGACGGTGCGGCGACGGAGGCGGCGACGGAGGCGGCGACGGCGGCGACGGGCGGCACGGACAGCGACGGCCGCCCCTGGTCCCGAGACGAGCGGCGGCGACAGACGGCGACGGGCAGCACCGCCTGCAAAAGCCGTTTCTGGCCCCGAGACGGTTAAGCCAAGCAAGGACCCCTAAGTGCAAGCACTGTTTGGGGAGTTATTAATGTTACTACTAGTATAGTCTTGCTATTAGTACTACTCTTAAATGATTAATGTTGATGTGATTCGTCGTCTCCTTGTTTTTAGCATCATTATGATGGTTTCTCCTCCTCCTCCTCTTCCTCCTCCTTCTCCTCCTCCTCCTTGTCCTCCCCCTCCTCCTCCTCCTCCTTCCCCTCCTCCTCCTCCTCCTCCTCCTCCTCCTCCTCCTTTTCCTCCTCTTCATTTCTTCGCCCGCACGCGGGCTCCAGGGATGGCCCGAAGAGGCTCTCCAAGCCCACCCCCTTGCTCCAGAGATCTCTCTGTTCACCCTGGTTGCACGTTCTGTTTCAGTGTGCACTCAGATATATACCCCTGGGTGGGTGTGTGTATGTGCGGCCGCTTTTGCGCGGGCATGTGCGTGCATGTGCGCAGCATGTGCCCCGCATGTGCGGGCGCTGTTGGATGAATGTCCTACTGTGCGCACGTGCCCGGGCATGTGCGGGGTTATGTGCCGTGGGTTTTGCTGCATGCATTGTAACGCACATGCACGCGCATGCCGACGCACATGCCCGCACATGCGGAACTTGTGCGAACGTCGCCGATCGGTCAATGGCACATACACGCACATGCGCTGAATCCCGCGCCCGCATATGCTCGCACATGCCGGTGCACATGCACGCACATGCCCGCACATGCGGAACATGTGCGGAACTCGCAGATCGGTCAGTGGCACATGCACACACTGCCTGTCCCCCCCTGCGGATGACAGCGCGGCCCCGCACATGCACGCACATGCGCTGAATCCCGCGCCCGCACATGCTCGCACACGCCGATGCACATGCACGCACATGCGTTCTCGGAATTCTCAGGGCTCCCTACTACAAGGGCCTTCAGCGTTTCGTGACCTTCGGGGCCTGGGGGGGCTCTTCGTTCCCGGCTCCCCATGTCCTCTTCGAGCCTGTAGTTGTTGCCCCTCGTTCTTGTATGGTTATCCTGCGCATCATGCCATAGGCGCGTGTCCCAAGTAGCTTCCATATCAAACAACGGATCCTGCAATTTGATTGTCCATGCAAGTTTCGGCCAACTCCTCGTTTCCCATGATACAAATGGGTTGGGTACGTCACAGGGTAATTTTTTGAGGGCGGATCCCTAAGATTGTCATCGCCTTTTGGCGCATAATCTTAGGGATAGGGATAAGTTCGAGGCTGGCAACCTGCTGCCACTCATACAACTCCGCCCACTCGCCCTCGGTCTCTGCTGCCTGGCCCTCGTCGCCTGCCCCCTTTCTGCCGACGACCATCGAGATTCACAACCCGCGCAAGCTCGGGAACCCGCCGTAGAGAAAAACGAGTACACAAACATCCCGGAAGAACCACAGCACTCCGCTGCACCCAAAGCCCACTGAGTGCAGCGGATGACGTCGCTCCATAGCGGCCCTGATACTGACCGTCCTGTCCTCCCCCCCCGCCATCGACGTCACCAGCATCACCACAATCACCTGGACGGTTTCCCCCGGGGCCGTAGGCGACCCGAGGAGGGGAGGGCGAGGAGGGGGAGGAGGAGGAGGAGGAGGAGGAGGAGGAGGAGGAGGTGGAGGTGGAGGAGGAGGAGGAGGAGGAGGAGGAGGAGGAGGAGAAGGAGGAGGAGGAGGGAGGAGGGGGGGGGAGCGGGAGGGGGAGGGGGGAGGGGGAGGAGGAGGAGGAGGAGGAGGAGGAGGAGGAGGAGGAGGAGGAGGAGGAGGAGGGAGGAGGAGGAGGCGGAGGGGGAGGGGGGAGGAGGAGGAGGAGGAGGAGGAGGAGGAGGAGGAGGAGGAGGAGGAGGAGGAGGAGGCGGAGGGGGAGGGGGAGGGGGAGGGGGAGGAGGAGGAGGAGGAGGGGAGGAGTGAGGAGGAGGAGGAGGAGGAGGTGGAGGAGAAAGGGGGAGGAGGGAGGAGGAGGAGGAGGAGGAAGAGGAGGAGGAGGAGGAAGAGGAGGAGGAGGAGGAGGAGGAGGAAGGGCCAGCCTTCTGAGCAAGCCAGCCCCGTCTCCCACCCCGGGGGCGCGCCGCAGGGGGGGGGAAACGCCAGCATCGAACAGACCTCGCTGGCGGCGCGACCAGGGAGGAGGAGGAGGAGGAGGAGGAGGAGGAGGAGGAGGAGGAGGAGGAGGAGGAGGAGGAGGAGGAGGAGGGGAGGAGGAGGAGGAGGGGGAGGAGGAGGAGGAGAGGAGGAGGAGGAGGAGGAGGAGAGGAGAGGAGGAGGAGGAGGAGGAGGAGGAGGAGGGGAGAGGAGGAGGAGGAGGAGGAGGAGGAGGAAGAGAGGAGGAGGAGGAGGAGGGGGAGGAGGGGGAGGAGGAGGAGGAGGAGGAGGAGGAGGAGGAGGAGGACGGGTCGCCTAAGCCCTTCGGAGAAACCCTCTAGCGGCCCGACGCCTCCCTGGTGCTATCCAAGGACCCTCAAACTGTCTCCAAGATGGTTTCCAGCGCGGCTCGGGCAAGCCTCCTGGGACACCAAGACGGCCCCAAGATGCCGCCATGCCGGCCTAGGAAAGTCCCAGGACGGCCCAAGACTTACGATGTTCCAACCTACTTTAGACTTGATCAGAAAGAAGCTCGAGCACCAAGAAAGTACCGAAACTGAAGGGTTTTCACGTGTCGGGCCCTGGGAGGCGATACTCGTTCGGCACTGTTGCGATACTTCTCTGGGTGCTCGAAATTATTCCTGGGATGTGGTCCTCAAGTACGATGGGAGCAACATAACCCAAGATGGCAGCACGGCGGCCCACGAGGCCATCGAGACGGCCCAAGAGGGCTCCAAAAGAACCGTCTGGGGACTCTTCAGCCACAGAGCCGAAGTCCCCCCTGGGTGGTCCTGGGGGCCCTGGCTCGCAAATGAAGGTCGGCCAAATTTCCGCTGGCCCGCACCAAGAATTCGGTGCGGAATCCGGCCGTGCCGACGTCGTGGTTCCACGGAGGCCCCGGTAGCTAGAAGCACGGAAACGACAGGACCGACGGGCAGCGAGCGCGCGCCCCTCTTCCTTCGCGCCTGCGCCTCTCGAACCAAGAAACTGTGGCTGCGAGCGGCGCCCCTACCCGAGCTCCAGGCAGCAGGCAGGGGGAAAGGGGAGGGGAGCGGGGGAAGCCCAGACGGACCGCGGGACCACCCCAAGACCCAGCGGGGTTACCCTTCGAGGTACCTATGCGCCAAGTGCGAGGGGTAAAATACAGGAGCCGCCAAGAGCCTCCGAGGCGCCCCCAAGACGCTGCCAAGAGGCCCCAGGAAGCCCCCAAGAGGCACCCGACAGACACCCAACAGGCACCCAAAGCCTTCAAGAGGCCCGAAGTGTCACACGTGACGGCCTCCCGTGCCCCCCAGAACTAGTCGCCACCCAGAATGCTGGGCTGGCACGGTGGCGGGGCTTGCCGCAGGCAGCTGGGTTCTGGACAGACCACACACTTAAAGAGGTCTGCGAGCCGATGTTGAAGAGCCGCCAGACTTCCACGTGCCGCAAAAAAACTGAAAAATAACAAAACACAAAAAACGGAGAAACAAACAAAAAACAAAAAAAAACAACAACAACAAAAAAAAAACGGCCAGGCTTCCCCCGGTTCGGGGCCCGGGGCCGTCGAGGGACGAGAGGTATCGAGGGATCTCTGAGAGCCGGCGAGTCCAGCGAATGTGTCGGGCGCCCTAGCCGTTCGAGACAGCCTGGGATGCTCTGAGGTTGCTTGTCTGGCAGCGCTCTCGAACGAGCTGTTCGTATCCTTGGGCTGCCCTGGATGGGTGGCGGGAAGGTCTCGTCCAAGGGAGGGGCGCCATGACAAGGCCCTCGGATCCGCCAAGGAGCACCCCGAGAGTCGAAAGCCGGAGAGCGGTCGGCTGCATCGCTGCTGGCGTTCTCGACGAGGAAACAGCAACGACAGCCGGACTTCGTGCGCCCCGTCCTTCAGCGCATTGTAGGCGTCCTGCGTGAGCTGCAGAGCCGCAAAGTACTTCTTCTCGTCCGCGGGGTCGAGCTCGGACACGTTGGGCTCCGACCGGTCGTGGTTCGCCAGGCGGCCTGCCCTGTTGAACAGCCATGGCTTCTCCAGGATCTGGATCATGGCGATGTTCTCCCTCGGGAGGCCCATCATGTCCTCCATACCGTTGTCCCACCAGAACCAGTGCTTTGGGTTCGTCCGGTCCCTGCCCGCCGCCATCAGGTGCTCGGGGCGGTGGAAGCTCGCATCGTTGATGTACGTCATCTTGAGCGTCTTGATCGTGTCGGCGTATTTCGTGACCAGCGCCTGGCGGGTGACGGAGGCGGACTCGTCCTCGGGCGCAAGGACACCCTTGCGCTTCAGCAGCTGCTGAATGAAGTGCACCCACTGCGTTTCGGACTCGAAGCCGTTGGACGTGATCCAGACGCTGGGGCCCGTGTAGATAGCCTTCTCCTTCGGGGCGGCCTTGGACGAGCCGACCTCGGGAGCGCGCTTGCTTGGTCTGGCGGCTAGGCACGCCGCGGGTGCGCAAACCGGTCGGATTTCTGAGGGGGAACGCCAGCATCGAACAGACCTCGCTGGCGGCGCGCCCAGGGGGGAGGAGGAGGAGGAGGAGGAGGAGGAGGAGGAGGAGGAGGAGGAGGAGAGGAGGAGGCGGAGGAGGAGGAGGGAGGAGGAGGGAGGAGGAGGAGGAGGAGGAGGAGGAGGAGGAGGAGAAGGAAGCGGAGGAGGAGGGGAGAGGGGGAGGGGAGGGAGGAGGGGAGGAGGAGGAGGAGGAGGAGGAGGAGGAGGAGGAGGAGGAGGAGAGGAGGGAGGGGAGGTAGAAGAGGAGGAGGAGGAGGAGGAGGAGGAGGAAGGACCAGCCTTCTGAGCAAGCCAGCCCCGCCTCCCACCCCCCGGGGGCGCGCCGCCGAGACACTGGGAAGCCCAAGGCATCGTGAGGCGAGAGGGTGCGGTCGAGCTGGGGGGGTCCCAGAACCGTTTGGCGGCGTGCACAAGGGGGTGGGGGGAGGGGGGAGGGCTTCTTAGAAGCAGGCTGCTTCTTAGAAGGCGCCGGCCTTACATCTATAGATAAGGCCCGCGCCTTCTAAGAAGCAGGGGTGCTCCTAAGAAGCCCTCCCCCCCTCCCCCCACCCCCCTCTGCGCGTGGCTGAACCGTGCGGTGACAGACCCAGCGGTGACCTCGAATGGGACGCACAGAGGCACACTAATACTGTATGTCCTCCTTGGAGGCGCGCGTCCGACCCAGACATATGGCATACCCCTCTTGTAGCATATCGTTTCCCGAGCGGCATGGCCAGAGAGCGCCCGCCACGACGCAAAAAACTACAAGATTTCTCGGTGCGCGCGCGTCGCCCGTGGGGCGGCGACGCACATATAGCGTAAGTATGTTTGGGCGACGCCGATCGAAATCCCCGAAGACATCACCACAGCAGGGGTTCCGTCGCCACACGGCTCTGGAACCCTGGAGGCCCCAGTCGTCCGAGGCGTCCTCGGAGAACGACCCAAGTCCCAAAACCGTGCGGCGACCTCGAATCCCCACCGACTCACCGCGCGGTATGGTCACCAACCCGTTCGTCACTGCACCGACCTTGCCGACGTGCTGCAGCGGATTGTTGCGTGGATGTCTGCCCATGCAAAACTCCGAGGCGGAGAGCGAAAAACGATATGAACTTCGCGTGGGTTCGTTTTGGTCTTCCTTCCTGGCCACAAAAAATCCCCACGAAATTCACCTCGAAAACCTGAACGAAATTCTCCAGGAACCCCTGGGCCCACCCTATCGTTTTCCGAACGGAATCCGCTCTGCGATGTTGGCGCCATGACACACGGTGACCACCACACCGTTTGGGGGCCCGGGATCGAAGTGGGAACGGAGAGCCCCATTGGGAAGCCGGCTTCGAACTTCGGGCTCGTGCCGTGCGCTCGTGTGAAGGTCGAAGCTGCGTGGGCGGGGGTGACCACCACACCTCGGGGGGGCGGCCAGGAGGGGGGCGTCCATGAAGGGGCCCTGGGACACACAAATAAATACACACAAATAAAAGGATTTCCCATATTTTCCTATATTTTCTGCTTTTTTGTCTTCCACCCCACTTCCCATATTTTCCCATATTTTCCTGGGAGTCGACGATTAATTGTGTCTGTATGTTTTGTTCCCCTCCTGAGTCCAAGAGGGGGGGGTGCAAACCATGGCCGGCGGCATGTGCGCGGCCCACGGGGGGGGGCCGGGGACGTGATGAAATCAGAAGGGGCGCCAGGAAATCTGGGGAAAGATCATGGCCCACGCCACGATTAGGGGAACAAAAAGTGGCAAAAACATTGAAAAACTCTGAGGTCCGCGCGGATTTCTCGGATCGGCGCTGGACCCCCTCCCTGGCGCGCGGAGCGCGCCAGGGGCGGCGCCGGAGGCGCCGCCGGGGAGCCCCAGCGCCGATCCGAGAATCCGCGCGGACCTCCGAGTTTTCATGTTTTTGTCACTCTTTTTTTTCCCCTAATGATATCCACCCCCCCCTAGTCTTCACCCCCCCTTTGCCGCCCCCGAACACCGTTTGGGGGCCCCCGAACGCAGTGGAACGGAGAGCCCCCCACCGGGAAGTCGGCTTCGAGCTTCACGGTTCGTGCCGTGCGGGGCTGCGCGGGCGGGCCTCGGGTTCTGCGAGCTCGTGCCCGCCGGCGCTGGAGGAGGAGGAGGAGGAGGAGGAGGAGGAGGAGGAGGAGGAGGAGAAGGAGGAGGAGGGGGAGGAGGAGAAGGAGGGGGAGGGGGAGGAGCAAGGAGCCAGGAGGAGGAGGAGGAGGAGGAGGGAGGAGGGGGAGGAGGGGGAGGAGGAGGGGGAGGAGCAAGGAGGAGCAAGCAGGGATGAGGAATGAGCCCTCCTCTGACCCGGGCACGGCCAGGACAGAAGCCCGCCCCCCCCCTCTTGCCGCGCGGCGGGCGGGCGGGTGCCCAAGATGTCCCGCCGTGGTGTCCCGAAGGTGTCCCGTGGTGTGCCGTGGTTTCCCGCCGTGTCTCGATTGGTGTCCCGCCGTGGTGTCCCGCCGTGGTGTCCCGTGGTGTCCTATGGTGCCCCGTGGTGTCCCGCAGTGACCCGCGGTGTCCCGTGGTGTCCCGTGAAATCCATAGTAACATCAATGACGATAGATAGTGAGACTTATAGTGACATCGATAGCGATAATGATAATGATATCGATAGCGATATAGACAGTGAGACCGTTAGTGAGACCGTTAGTGAGATCGATAGTGAGATCGATGGTGAGATCGATGGTGAGATTGATCAGGATATCGATAGTGATACCGATATTGTGACTTATAGTGGTGTCGATGGTAAGCTCGATAGTGCGATCGATAATGAGATCGGTAGTGGGATCGGTAGTGAAAGCGATGGTGAGATCGATAGCGTGAACGATAGAGAGATCGATGGTGGTATCGATAGGGAGATCAGTGAAAACGATAGCGAGATCAATCGTGAAATCGATAATGAGATCGACATAAGGATCGATAGTAAGATCGATTGTGAAGGTCGATAGTGAGATTGATAGGGTGAGACGTTGGTTCCTCCCCCCCGCCCGAACCTCCTTATCACCCGAAGGGCGGTCGTAGGTAATTTCCTAGTTGCACACGCATCCACAGCATACCGATAACGGCGAATGCTTTTCTGAGGTGGACGACAGTCCCAGTAAACTGGTCCATGCCAAATACCAATCAAACTTTACAACATCACCAAGAACAAAAACGTTACGACTGTTTGATCTTATCCACTTGCGTGTCATTCAGCAGGTAGGTCCCGACCCACGATACCCGCCCTCCTCGCATCCGACCGTACTCTCTTTGGGAGGCATGTACTCCTTACATGCCACGTGCACCTGGCTCGGGTTCCAAAAGAAGGACGAGGAGGCAGAAAGGCAAAGGGAGAGTGAGGAGGAAGGGAGTCTGAGCGGGGGAAGGGAGGGACGAGGGAAGTTTTTTGAGCTCCACGCCCAGCTCCTCCTGACTGCTGCAAGCAACTGCCGACGCCTGCAATGGAGGAAAGTGCAGCCGTCCTTGAAAAATCTGGTTGGTCAGAATCGTCGGGCCGCTCCCCCACGTTTGGCACGAGCGGACCCTCGTCCTCTTCGAGGAGGGGGAGCAGGAGGTAAGGTAAGGTAAGGTAAGGTAAGATAAGGAAAGGTAAGGTAAGGTAAGGTAAGGTACGGTAAGGTAAGGTCAGGTAGGGTAAGGCATTTGGGGAGATAAGTCCGAACGGTCGAAAACCGATGGACACTTCTGGCCTCCCTGCGATGGGACGATCGGGCAGGGCCCCCTTCTAGGGTTATGTCAGGCCTGTCCCCCTACAGGGGGATTTTCGACGAAACATAACAAATACCCCCACAATAATCAAAACATACTTCAAAAATGGTCTGGGGAGTATGTGTCGGGTATTGTTTGACCTTCTGGGGGTATGCTTTGGGTATTTGTATTTGTTTCGTCGAACCTCCCCCTGTAGGGGGGCACGCCCGACATAATTCTGGGGCCTGCGCGCAGGATCGGGCGGAGAGCCTCGGCCCTCGACCTGCTGCCGCCACGCGGGGGGGGTGGAGCACCCCCTATGCACAGTGCAACAGCATCGCTTTCACACTCTCTAGGAGGAGGCGGAGGAGGAGGAGGAGGAGGAGGACGAGGAGGAGGAGGAGGAGGAGGAGGAGTAGGAGGAGGAGGAGGACGTGAGAGGTCAGGAGCTGGGGGAAGAGGAGACTCTGGAGTCCCGATACGGTGCGGTGACACACCGTGCGGTGACCTCGAAATCCCCCGAGGCCTCACCGCACGGTCCGTCGCCGCACGGTGTTGGGACCCTGGAGGCCCCTGTCGCCCGAGACGTCCTCGGAGAACGACCCGAGTCCCAAAACCGTGCGGCGACCCCGAATCCCCACCGACTCACCGCACGGTGTGGTCATCGCCCCGCTTGGGGGCCCCCGACAGAAGGGAGAGGACGGGCGGCGGACTTCGGCGGGCGGGTCGGGCGGCGGGACCCTATTGGCGGGCGTGGCAGGCAGCCCCCCCCCTCCGCACGGGCAGGGTCGGGGGGGCCGGGCCCCCGACGGGCGGCTCGGGCGGGCGGGGCGGGCGGGCCCCAGCGGGCGGGTCGAGCGGGCGGGCGAATGGACAGGCGCGCTCCACGACTCGCAAGTCCATTGCTTGCAGATTACCTGGATCCACCGCGGGGGATTTACGACATATTGCATAGGGGAAGACCTATAGAACTACCTATACGACCACCCTTCGGGTGATAAGGAGGTGAGGGGGGGAGGGGCCAACGTCGCACTCGATCGATCTCACTATCGAACTCACTACCGATCTCACAATCGATCTAAATCGATCGATCTCACGATCGATCTGATTATCGATCGCACAATCGATCTCACAATCGATCTCACCATCGATCTCACAATCGGTCTCGCTATTGATCTCACAATCGATATCACAATCGATCTCACAGTCGATCTCACAT